CAAATTGGAGATGTTCTCTTTATAAGAATAACCGAAAGGATTGCACTTTTTCCACTCTTTCTTTGGCTAAAACACTGCTCAACATAATAATTTGACTATATTACCCTTTGATCCCTCTTCTGCCAATGTGTTAAGAAAGTGATGTTACACATTTTCTAGTCATATCCCTTTTCTTTTATTAATTTTCTATTTCTTTTCTTGTGGATCCCGCGTTCAATTTCCTTATCTTCTTCCTTCTCTATGTTCTCACTCATGTAACTACTCACAACAATAGAGAGGTATAGAAATGGAGACTTCCATGCTTGTGTAGGCGGAGGCAATTGAACTGGTCCTCATCACCCACAATGACACATTCTCGAGCCACCTGAGTGAAGGCTTTGCGCCACATGTCTTACGGTGGCAAGGGAATGGTGTTCGTAAAGAGTAGCGCATACTGGCAGGGCATGATGAGGTTGTGCACTCTACTGCTGCGTTTGAAAACATTTTGGGGGAAAATTTTTGGGAAAATGCAAAGGACTTTAAGTTAAAGGAGTTTTTCAAAATGCAAATTGTGTTTAGTAAATTGTAACTTAAAAGTCCCTTGCAAAGTAACTTTAGGTAAAATAGTGTTTGGAAAAATTATACTTGCAAAGCAAAATTTTCATTTTTTATTAAAGGAAAGTTGAAACCCTTCGCCGACCGGCGAAGGACGGGCGGCCGCCGGCAACCTAGATCTGGCGCTGGCGGCCGTCATCTAAGGCCGAGCGGCCTTGGGTAACCCCTGGCGACCGCCGACGAGGGCCGCCTGGGGTCGAGCGACCCTGACGAGGGTCACGAAACCCACGCGAGGCCACCGGCAACCTAGATCTGACGCCGCGCGGCAGTCGTCTGAGGCCGGACGGCCGAGGGCAACCCCTGGCGACCACCGACCAGGCCACGGCTGCCTGGGTTTTGCACTTAGTTCGGCCTCAGACGACCGCCGCGCGGTGCCAGATCTAGGTCGTCGGCGGCCCTCGAGGGTCGTCGGCGGCCCTCAAGGGTCGTCTAGGTCGTGCGACCTCAGGCGGCCCTCACCTGGGTTGCGTGGCCCCTCGCGGCTGTCGTGCGAGCCCAAGCGATGGTCGCTAGGTTGCGCGACCATGCCGGCCCCCCTCCGGCCGGTCGCCGTCGCCTCACAGCCACGCTGCTGAGGTCTCAGCGAAGAAGAAGATGAACAGTATAGATGAAGCCAAAATCAGAAAATAAAAAAAAAAGATAAGGGTAGTTTCAGGAGAAATTTTTTTTCACTTATTCAGAACTGTTGCTTGCCGAGAATGCCCAAATGCCAAGGCACCTCCAAGGTTGCCTTGAGCTTTTGGCCTTTTGAAGGCCAACTTTGGCTCAATGGAGTTTCTAAAAAATCTTGCCAAACACCAAAATTTAGCCCAAGCCCCTTGGCAAAGCTAATTCCAAACGCAGCCTACATTTGATAAGTTTGGCGAAGGTGGAGTAGTTTGTGCCGATGAGGAGGAGCTGGGAAGGTTGATGGGAAAGCTGAGGGCGGCAGCCTTGAGGCATACTCTCCGCAATCTAAAACACTTCATCAAAAAACCCTTATATGCACAATGAATCAACGAAATTCACAAAAGCAGCATTGCTCACAAGCAAATCCTCTTTGCATTTCATTATCTCCCGAAGCCTGACAATGAATTTCCTTGCCTTCTCCTCATCTAGCCGTCGAAAATATCCACCGACCAATTTGCTAAATTTCCTCACAAAAAGCGTGAATTACATTGAGGTTGAGTGAGTTAGATTGGTAGCCGCGGAAACGGAGGTGGTTAATGAGGATGGCTTCGTTGACTTCCCGGTGGTGGATTGATGTGGCCCTGCCTAAGATATGCGAGTACACGGACGTGACCTTCATGATTATCCATTTCTATGCCTCTTGAGAGAGAATAGAGTTCGACCAAAAAAATGAGAGAGCACTAAGAGAAGGAAGAAAATTAAGGAAATTGGATATAGGACCCACAAGAAAAGAAATAGGAAATCAATATAAAAAAAAAAGGATAAAGGGATGCTAAACAGTGAAAGCCACAAAATGTAATATTATCAGAATATTGTGTTAAGGAGTGTTTTAGTCGTAGAATGAGTGAAAAAAGCGTAGCCCTAATAAAAATTTTGAAGTGACAACCTCTTTTTTTCCGTTGAACGGCAAATGTTGTTTTAGATTGCTATATACACACTAATTCACCCTACTTTATCAATCTTATTAAAAACGAGTTATCCTTGTCAATAAGAAAGGTTTTAATGGAATTACTTAATGATGATCCAATTTAAGAGCCAAATATAGAATTAGAATCACTCGTCAGATCTCGCTCTTTTTCACGGTACAAAACCAACTTACTCAATCAATAAAAGTTGTTAGGTGGCATTTATGGCTTTCTTTTCTGACATTATGAAAAAGATTCGTTCCATTAGACTTAACATCAAATTTCCGATCCAATTGAAATCAGATCATCCGTCCACGGTAAGACCACCGATATGGAAACCTCGCGGCACTTATGGACGTGATAAAAAAAATTTCCAATTATTGTACGGTTCGCGGATCATAGGCTCAAAATTAAATCTCTAGATAGGCACACTATTCACAAGAAATTAAAAAAAAAAAAAAAACTATCTTCGGCATTGGAGAGCAGCCCCCACCCCCGCCCACTATCTTCTTCCGTCCACAAAGTTCCAAATGGAGAACAAAGGTAACGTCATAAACCCCATCTCAAACCTCCCAAAGGATAAAAAGCCAAACCGTGTGTGTGCGAGGGGGGCCATCATCATCGATATCATCATGTATCGTATGATGGGAAAGTTGACACATCCCATGATCCTAAGGTTGAATTTGGAGGGGCTCCGATCCAATTAGAGGGAGGGAGAGGACGACCGGTCGACAGACACTCCATGTGGCCCAGAATCTTTCCCAGTTCAAATCACTTCAACTCTCTCTCTCGTTCGACAAGTCTCAAACGGAAAATCCAAGACCATGCGGCGACCCTCAGTGGTGAGCCTAGCTCCTAACCGGGTCCCACCCTTTAGGGACCATCTGGTCTCCACCCCATACTCCGCGGGCCCCGCCACCCGCCCCCAACCGGATGTCCTTATCGAATATCCCGACTCCCATCGTGGCAATTCAAATATGATACGATCCCGCTTACACGATACTCGCGAAGAACAGTAACTCGCTCGCGCAATAAACAGGCGATTCGTTCCTCTCTATTCCTTTGCCCTCTATGCGCACTCTGTTCACGTTTTGTGCACGGATCAACTCGGCGAAACTGCAATATCAATCTTCTGTTTTTTCCCTCCCTAAAGATTTTAACCTTACACCATAGAGTCTATGACGATAGTTCTGTGTTTCTTCAGCCCCCACCACCCATCAACTCAATCACACCCCCGAGCATGATTGCCAATCGGACTTCATCGCCGCTCGCCTCATTAGCCAAGAGGGATCGCCCCACACAAACCCCCTGTAATCCCGATCTCTTCCGTTTCTGAAAATGTCCATCTCCCTTGATCCGAGAAGGCCATCATAATAGAGAAGGGTTTTCCATCATGAACTTCGCTTACTCCCTCCTCCCGTGTGGGGTTCCCATCATTAACTCCGAGGGGCCCCAACCCAGCTGAACTCACGAAAGATCCTTCACATGATATGCACCATAATGTAAATACAAAAGAGATGCTGTGGAGCGCTTGTATAACGATCCATATCTGAGCTTGACGACGACCCGCCCTTGTCTGGTCCGACAAGATAAAACGATAAGGCCAAGAGCTCACGTCCCTCTCTCTATCTGTGCGGTGGGGTGGTGGTGGGGGGGGAACTATTCCGCCGTTCTCCTCGTCACCGCCAGTGGCGTGGCCAAAGACTGCGATTTGTCAAAAATGGTACGTTTCGACGAGGGGCCGAACCGCAAGAGAACAAGGAAAGTGGGGGGTCGAAAACGGGAAAAAGGCCAAAAGAGAGGGGGGTCGGGGTGGGAAATCAAAAAGGGCGGTGGGTTATTATTATCCACTGCAGCGGAGGGCGTTCGTGGCAGTAAAAGGTTGGGAGGGCCTCGTCAGGGCGGGCCCCACCTGGGCGGTCGATGGCTCCACGTGGCTCCGATCCGTTAGCCCTCCCCGCCCAGGGACGAAGAAGGGAGGGGAAAGGGAAGGGAAGGAAGGGCAAAAAGCAGCTCCGACGAGCTTCGGAGACTTCAAAGACGTTAACATTAATATTAATTCAAATGAAAACAATAAATTACAAAAAGGAAGAGCATAATCTTATGGGTTAATACAACGAAAAATCTAAATTAATATATTTATGATAAATTTATCTCGAATTAATTTTTTGATCACAAAAAACTCTAAATTGATACATTTGTGATAAATTTACCCTACGTTAGTTTCCGTTAAATTAGATTAATAGTAAATCTGTGACAAAGGGAGGATGATACCTAAAATCGGTACATCCATCAACTATCGCGTGTCATTTAATAAAGCAATACGACAGTAAAATTTAACGGAAACTAACGTAGGGTAAATTTATCACGGGTGTGTCAGTTTGGGGATTTTCATGGTAAAAAAAATTAGTTTGGGATAAATTTATCGTAAATGTACCGGTTTAGAGTTTTACCTAGCATTAATCCTCATTTTATAATAAAACTATTCATATTTCCTTTTTCTTTTAAGGGGGAAAGGGGGGGGGGGCGGGGGCGGGCGTGGGAAAATGTATATAAATATAAGGGGCTTAGCGACGGTTTCGATTTGGGTCATCGTCGTCGTCTGCATCGCGTGCCGCCTTTCACGTGTCGCGCCTCTCCCTCTCCCTCTCCCTCTCCCTCTTTCTCTCTCTCTCTCTCTCTCTCCCCCCTTTTCCGGTGTTCATCTTCTGTTTGGCTTTCTTCCTCCCTCCTCCTTTTGGCCGACCTCGCTCTCTCTCTCTCTCTTTTGTTTTATCGTCTTCGTCGTCTCCCTCTTCGCGTTTTCCCTAGGCGGTGGCAAAACGTCTCCTTCGCGTCCCCTCCCTCCCTCCCTCTCTCTCTCTCTCTCTCTCTGCCTGCCTATATATATAAATACGTATCCGCCTCCATTGCCGTCACTCCTCGCGGCCTTCGCAGCTCCTCCCGCGCGACGTGTCGCCGAGTGCGGTGCGGTAGGGCGGCGACTGAGTGACACAGCAAGAGAGAGAGAGAGAGAGAGAGAGAGAGAATGGAGGGAAGGAAGCAAGGCGGATCGCCTCGTCCCTCTGCCGCCGCCTCCTCTTCCTCTCCCTCGTCTTCGCCGCCGCCGCCGCCATCGCTTGCTTCGGAGCTGTTCGGCTCGAAGGAGACGTATCCGCCTTCGTCCTCCGCGGGCATATTCGCCTCCATCTTCGCGCCTCCCTCTAAGGTATGTTGTCATGCCTTTCTCTCTCTCTCTCTCTCTTTTTCTTTTTTGGCCCGTGCGCGCGCGGCGGCGGGCTCTCTCGCTCGCTCTCTCCGAGACCTGTCGGTTCGCGATACGCGATTGAGTTTTTTTTTCGGGTTTGCGGAATCGGGTTTGGTTTTGGCTCCGGCGCTCGCGTGGGGGCGGATTTGTTGCCGCATTTCGATCGGGATTCGGATAATGATGCTGTGAAGCAGCTCTGTTTTGCTCTGTGCGCTCGAATTCTTTTCGTCGAGATGCTGATCGTTTGCTTCGATCGGGGGGATAATTGACGTCTTGTTTCCGTCCCTTGATTGGACGATGCGATGTAGTTTATTCATCCAATTGGAGTTAGGACAGACATTATCGGTGACGGAATTGCTCTTGCGCGCGTCGCGATTTGTCTTGCGAAGAGAGCGCTGGACAGATGAAATCGACCTTGGGATGATGCTCCCTGAGTCTGAAACTTGCTTGCTGTTTCCCGCCTGGCGGCTCCTTTCACATAATGGTTCCTGGCGCAAGTTATACATGTAGGTTGTCCTTATGTGTTTTTTTTGGCGAACTAGGTTCTTGGGAAGGAATCCGTGCGCTACGAGAGCGAAAGGAAGCAGGATTTCCAGAACGAGCTGTGGTGGAGCAAATCCGGAACTCCAGGTTTGTGTGGTCTGCCTTGCTCCCGTGTACGCCCATGTGTCGCCGTAGAGTTCTAGTTGAATGTGAGATTGAGTCCTTACCTTGTTTAGAGTGTTGCGGCCGGTATAGATATTGTAAGCATCCCATGATTTATTTATGTCTTCATTCTGCTTCCCATTATTGTACTCTGGCATTTATTGATCGAATTTGACGGCGGTTTGTCTAAGATCTTTCTCTTTCGTATTCTTGTAACTGTCAATCTGAGTTGTTTAGAGAACATTCCACATCTGCTGTTCATCTTTAGATTTATCTCTCTTTTATTATGAAGATGAGGTGCTCAAAAGATACAAGAGTTGTACATTTGATTAATGCTTTCTTAATAATATCCCGCTGGATGTGTGTTACCAAGAGAGTAACTTAATTATTTTATTGACCAGATGATACATCACATGTTGGTGGAGGAGGTCACAGCATGCTGAACAGAGATATGGGTACCATTTATCAAGAGCAGAGAGTACAGCCGTGCCACCTCAGTTCATCTATATATTATGGTGGCCAAGAGAACTATTGCCACCCTTCAAGTACTCAAGGATCTGGATTAAATCCTGTGGTGAGCACAAAATAACGCAGCCTTTTGGTTCATTTAGATGCAGTGAGGAGAGTCGACGAACATTGGGTTCGACCAAACTCTAAAGTGAAAGACTAATCTGATTGAAAAGATTGCGTATCTCTAGCCAGAGAAGTTTTTTGCATGATGCTTGATTTGGAGATTTTTGTCGCTGGAATCTATTTTCGATTCGCAAGTAGACCTAAGGGATATTTCCAGAGAAATTTCTTCTTTCGAGCGTTTCTTGAATTTATGTGATGCTCGACCCTTGTAGAAGGTTTTCTCTTGCAATTATGAAATAATTGCTGGGTTGTACATGTCGGCAGAAAAAGATGTTTCTGAAATGAGGATAACTATGTATGCATCACTTTAATTTATCTTTAAATTATTAGGATTTGGCCTGTTTGGAATGTATGTAGGCGCCTTGTTTTGGTCTCAGAGTTTGTTAATAGCTTTTGTCTTCTTTTCAGGTCAAGAAAGATGCTGGAGAAGATGACGGAAGTGCTTCTAGGGGAAATTGGTGGCAAGGTATGGCACTGCAGCTGTTCCGCTGTGTATATGTCGATTGCGTTCTGAGATTGTGGTACTTAACTTTTTCTCGTTACATTAAATTTTGCAGGATCTTTATATTACTGAGAGCTTACTTGTCAGGCGGATCGTCGACATGGTACTCCTTTTTGCGCTAGTCTTGCATGCATCTGAGTTGGAAATTCTCTCTGGATTTGTTTAAATAACAGCTTCTAGCTTAAAACTTTGCTGTCCATAATCGGCCCCAGAGGAATTTAGTGCAAGAATTTTGCTCTATCTGTAAGAAATGATAAATAGAGGCGATTCGCTGTTTGTTGAAGTTCCGTCATCAGATGATACGCTAGCAAATTGTGTGAATATGTTTCAAATAGTTGGCACTTTTCAGATATTTTTCCTTACATTTATGTACTTCACGGGCCTTTATTTCTATAATCAGATTTTAGTGACTGCTAGTTTGAAAATGTAGCATTTGCAGTGATTGCTTTAATGCCGTGTGACTGTTGGCCAATAGTATTATACCATACAGTGAACAGATTTGTCATAAAGCTAGTATGAACAGGTTGATATACTGGAATGAAGTGTAACATTTACTTTCTACAGTATTAAAGGGCTGCATTACTATAAAAGAACTCCATATTGCAAATTAATCGAGGCAAGTAGGATTCTAGCAACACTAGTGCATTTTCTGTCGTTTATCTTTCGCAATCCTGAATATTCGACTCGTATTGTGATTCGGGATATTTTTTGGCAGGTACATAGCAATACTATATTAGCAGTATAGTCTTACTTGGTTCTCATGGATATGGAGATAATGGTCAGGTTCTTGGTGTTTGTTCAGCCTCTCCATGAAGTGGTCGTCTGATACTACAGTTAGCGACTTCCATATCCCTTTTCTTGAGTATGGATTGCTTTCCTTTACTGTAAAAGATGTTTGGATGGCGACTTCTTTCACCACAACCTATTATTGTGGACTGAAGTTGCCTTATAATCTAGTGGGTGTTATGTATAAACTTCCAACGTTTCCTAGCTTAATTTTCTATTCACCAGCTGTAAATGACCGCATTATACTATAGCTTCGTCTCATACTGTGAATATCTATTGCAGTAGACGTTCTGAGAGGATGATTTTCATCTTTACTAGTTTTGTTGTGTATTTGAGAAGCATTTGAATCATGGCGCAGTTTCAAATTTAGGTTTATACAGAGAACAAATGCACATGATGGCTAATGTTCGGAACGCGAATGCTTCATGACCAGCTAGGCGCATGCTTGCTCCATTTTGAAACGCATCCACTTCTTGCATCTGAAAGCTGAGGCTGATTCAAAACTTCTTATCATCGATTCTTATGTTGCTGTTGCTAGAAAATAGTTTGTTTGATCATGGTAGCAAGCTTTAGTTAACTGTCGAATGGCCCTTTAGGCGGGTCTATCTCCTTTACGTGCTCCACATGGGGATGGCCCTAGATCTGTCCCCATTCGTGTCTTTCTTTTGTCTTTTCTAAGACCAAAATGGTGTTTGTCTTTTCAAACTGTTCTCCTTTTTCCTTTTTACTACCGTCTTTTTCCTTCTTATCCTAAGCTTTGGAGCCTCTGAGGTTATTCCCTATCCGAAGCGTGATCCACCGATCCAAAAAAGCAAAGTCGCATCCGTGAGTTTGTGGGGCAGTTCTTGCTTTTCCAAATTGGTAGTTACCTGTTAAGTTATGGTCGTTAAAGGAGAAAATGAAAGGATTAGAGGGTGGGATGACGACAATGATTCCGGAGCCACATATCGGGGGTCTATCGTTTTGGATCTTTTTTCTCCTTTACGACTTCTGGGTTTTCCTAATTGATGCTACCACGGAAATGTGTCGGCCGTGTCCAATGATCTTGTGCCATGTTGACCTGAAGAATCTTTGAAAAATTTGGGTTCTGTGGAGTTGCGTCTCCCTCTAGCAGTTTCTGCTGGGGAGCTATGCGCAGAAAAGTTCCAAAAGAACACCAGCACGGAACGAAAACGATTGGAAGATTCTTGCAGCTGAGAAACCCTCAGATGCGCTGCGATTTATTAAGGTAGATAGGATCATAGATTACAACAAAAGCTCCTGTCCCTTTTATTTGTTTATAAAACGACAGAGCTGAAGCATCGGTTACCGAGGAACCATTTGCAACCATATATCCAAGGGCATACGGTCTTCCATCATGGCAAGGTATAAGCTGCATAGGAACGAGAGAAATCAATTTTGGAACGCAGAAGATGGATTATGAAATCAGCAAAATTCCACAAAAAAAATCAGAAAATGGAAATAATCAAATTCAGATCAAAAAATCGCCGAGCGCCACGACACAGAGTAATAATCTGTCAATGCGGTCGTTTACATACCTCCGCACTTGTAACCCACCGGACGGTCCGCGATGTTGCAGCGCTTGGGGATTGTGATGGCGATCTCGGGCTTGATACCAGAAACCTTGGCTGTGTTAGAGAGCATCACGGCGCAGAGGCAGCTCGGGCTCTGGCCTATGTTCTTCACCTGGGCACAGCAGCTGTCGGACACGGGGGCTTTCACGTCCTGCGCGGCCGATGCGCAGGGGGCCAGCTTCATGGCCTCGGCGTCGGGGGTCGTTGACTTCCCGCACTCACCCGCAGCGTGAGACCCCTGGGACGCCATGCTCACTATTAGGAGCAATGCGAGTATGCAAATGAACTTCCCAATTGGAGACTCCATTTCTTCAATTTGCCGTCACAACACAACTTGTGAGGAAGAACGATGTTGTAGTGCTCAGGAATTTCCCCACCTGAGAGGGTTTTTATACTGAAATTCTGGGCTTGTGAGGGTGTCTCATTTCATGTAATTCCCCACTTTGTTCTAGTGGAGATAGCACTAGTCTCTGAAAACAGAAATAAAAAAGGACAGCAAGCGCTTATTGCAGCACTTGGGTTTGGTGAAATCGGTATTGGAGGCTTTGGATTGTCCCTTTGCGGATCAATTTAGGTCGTGATCTGCAACATAGCGTCGGCCACTTTCCAGATGTTCCAACACTAGCAAGTGTGAAACTAAAGAGGAGCTTAGCTCTACAGACACCTGACAGATTATCTCAACTCCAGAACCAACGCATGCAATTGTCGAGTGACCCTTCCTTAATCACTTCCAATGAAGCTAGGAATTAGTGGAAACGTGTGATCAACTTTGAGCCACCTACTACAACTTCAGAAAGAGCACTGCCGATCATTGGCAGATAATATTCATCTCAAAGAACAGGAGAATTTGCACCTTTGTCTACGTTGGTAAGAGTAGAATACTTATCTTTTTTTTTCCTTCTTTTATTGGAAGAACAGAAAGGCTGTTTTCACTGAGATACGCAGGAGCTTATATCGAGTGAAGTAGCCTTTGCTCAAATACATCGATCTATGCTCGGCTGTTGCACCCGTACCTGTCCTGGATTAAGTTGGAGAGAGATTTTCATAGTCGAATTGACATATTTGAAAGTAAAACTGATAGAACATAGACCAGTTAAACCAATATGATTCGGGGTATGTTATATGCCATTAGGGTTTTATATAGTTTTAGCACCTGTAGTATCATGGTGAAATCCAAGAAAATTGACGAACCATTTGAATCATCTCGGCAAAGTGTTTGATAGATACCACCGTTACACATTTAGGTTGAATACCAATAAAGGGTGCCTCTGGTGCCTAATGCCAATACTTGAGTTTCTTTCGAATGCACAAATTTCGCTCACCTCAACTTCAATGATTACCACATTTGACACGATCGATAATTCCAATCCGAAAAGTTCGTTGAAAACCAGAATCCATGGGGCTACATGCCATGGCATCTTGGCCTAAAAAACCACCTTTTTAACATGTTTTTCTCATTTATCCGAATCCAACCACTATCAACACATCGTTTTATCCCTATACTTATGCATGTCAACTTGTTCGTGACTTTAGTAGGGTGTTTGAAGATTAGATACGATCACTGAGCTAGCACGGGCAAGGCATGGTTAGGCCTAACGTATTGCCCAAGCCTGCCCATATTGGAAAATTCTTATAGGAATGTTCCACCCTAGCCGGCTCAAAGATGGGCAAGCAAGGGTTTCTCATGCAAGACATTTGCCCAAACATGAACATTTATCCTTCGGGCGTGGATAAGCTTGAGCGGGCCAAACAGGCCACCCGCCTGTTGATCACCTATACAATTTTTCTACTTTTATGCTTTCTTTTTATCTTTTAAATATGCTTTGTAAATTTTTAAAATAATTTAGACTAGCCCGGGCCATTTCGAGTATGAGCATCATAGAAGGGCTGGATTAGCCCAACTAGAAAAAAAGAAATAGGCCCAGGAGCCAGCCTATCCAAGAACCAAAAATAGGTCCGAGCTGGTACGTCGGACCTGGTTTTCGGTACCAGCTCGGACCCGATCTTCAGGCACTCGGATTTTCTTGCACGCCTCGCTACACGCCACAGGGAGAATTGGTCGTTCGTTCGTCGGCCTTTCAATATTGTGTACATCATATGTAATTTTCATGCTCGTGATTAACTACGTGATAACATTATATCGTGCACCATCGACTATCAGCCACCGGATTACACTGGTCGACAAAGATGTCAATACATTATTCCAGTGATTAAAACCTCGGAAACACGTCATGTTACGAAGTTGGGGTTGGTCGGATCGCATAGACAGAAACGGTAGTCCTGTAAGGAAAAGGAAAGAGTGATGTAAATACTACGGCATCTCAAAAAACAGAGAGAAAAAAAAGGAATAAATCGACAGTCTGATTTTATTCTTATCAAAGGACTAAATGCTCTTGGAAAAAGCATAGAGTTCACTCAATTTACTTTTGAAGTTTCCGAGAAAGACTACCCATTTTCAAACACCATCTAATAGAGCGAATCAGAAAAGTCATTTGAAGTGAACGTTTGAATTTTACAGGAGATGCTTCAATCTAGCTTTTTATTTCAAGAATGTGAAAAGGCACTTGTTTTCTTCTACGTTCCGATATGTACACAAAAAACATGCCTTCAGTCGTCATAATGTAGCATGTATAAACTCGAAACATGAGGTTTACTTCCAATCATATGCATCTCACCATATGATTGGCAAAATTGCAAGAAAGAACGATCGTGTTGACCAAATCGACTGGATCCTCCGATTTTGGTAGGAGAAAATTATAGGATATTCTCCTTATTTGGTGTTCTTTCCTTGTTCAATTGTTACTTTGTCTATTTCCTGTAATTCTGGAAACAATTATGTACCTCTATCAATAAAAAGGCAGTCCCTCTCTCAAAGAATTCATAACAAAAAAAAAACCTTGAGAGAGGATTCCCGAGAATGTAGGCTTACTTAGCCGAACCTCGTTAAATTGCATTTGCGCTCTTTATCTCTAAATTTATCAGATCGATTGTAGTAATCCCACTTGGACGTTGCCATAAGGGTCTACACTTACTACAGAATGTTCAGTTTGAGCCATAATCACTCCCTATCATCCGCAACCCGGAGGTTGGCGAGTCTATCAACACTCGACACAGCCCATCAAGATTACGGCAGTCGGGAAATCTATCCACAAGGAGTCTGTTGCAGCTTGGCAATACAATACTAGCATCTCAAAGGTTCACTCTTAATACGAATCGAACTTTTGAAGATACATCATTCTCTATCCGCTGTCAAACTTTGAACTCAATGTACTTCCGACGTAAGGGAAACGAGGAACATGAGTCACAACTCGCAAACGCACAAAGGCGCACACCCGCAAAGCGCAATAGAAAAAAAAAAGCATTCAATTTTGTCGATATTCAAAGCGTAAGTTGTCTCACGGACGAAAACACTTTTCTTTTCGAAAAATAGAAATGAAGCACACACTCATGGAGTCACGTGCTTTTGTGAATAATGGGGCCCAATCGATAGTGATACCTAATAACGAATTTGGTGACATTTTGTTAACCCAAAAATCATGCATTTTGCTCAGAAAACCTACTAAGTTGAAGTCGAGGCTTATGTCACGGTCAAGAGGTTTTCTAACACCAAGGACCGTGACACATCGATAAAGACCTGTCCAAAACCCAATGGAGCTTCCAGAATTTTCCCAAGGACGGGCGAGACGGTAATTGTGCCGGGGTTCTAGAGAGTTCTCGGCATAAATGCCGGTAGTTGATAGCTCTCGGAATAAATGTCGGTAGGTGGTCGACGAGAACGATACGATCTCGGCCACTCGTCTAGAAATCGATCAATGGTTGTAATCCGAGGTCCTCTACTATATAAAGGGATGTCCTCCTCCTCATTTGAATCATCCAAACAACAAGAAGCATTTGCTTTCTCTCCCAGAGCTTCTCTCTCTAGATTCTCTCTCTACGATCCGAGTGTCCGAGCGAGTGAGCGATCGGGAAAAGGCTTGGCCTAGGCTTTCCAACGATCCAAGGAAGCCTAAGTCGCCGCACGGGTCGTTCCCTAACTATCGGCCCGTGACAAGTGGTATCAGAGCAAGTAGAGAGTCCATCCAAGGAGATCGAGGAGCACACCAATTGGTCGAGAGAATGTCGAACCAAGAACAACTCGCTTCGGTTGTTGTGGATGAAAGGGCTCCCAATGAACCGGTTCCCAATGAGCCGGCTGCCCAACCAAAGACTCGTGGAAAATCCAAGAAAAGGGATGCTTCGTCGGACACCGAAGCCGCGGTCGATGAGAAGCTCACGAGAACGAGAACAGCAATGTTGGAATTCATCGAAGAACTCGACGAAGTTAAAGGGCGGATCAACGAGGTTGAAGAAACTCTCCGTCACGAATTCACAAACGTCGTCAATCGCACAACGGCCCCCTTGTTCGATAGGGATGATGTCCTCGATGTTGCGGAAGCCAAGCGATCGAACAATAAAATTGACAGAATAAGAAAATAAATCGGACACCAGATTTACGTGGTTCGGTCGTAGTGACCTACGTCCACGGGGAGAGCAGCATGGAATTCTACTATAGATCAAGCGATACAACGGAGATTACAACTACACTCGAGTCACTCGAACACTCAGTGTTTCCCAAGCCCCAATTACACCCAATAACTCACACAGTGTTTAGCCCCACAATTCCTCATGAAATAATCTCTCAATCTCGCAAAAGAATTGTACACAAATCTTAACACAAGATTTAATCGCTACGAACACTTGAACTCTTGAGTGTAATTTGCCGAAGAAAGACCCACGAAACTCTCTGCCAAGCACTCTATTTCGGCGCTTCAAGTCATTCTTCTGTCTATTGACCAACTGAGCAACTCGCTAATATCTATGAACTGCTCATATATCCACCGTCTGAAGAAGTGCAACAAATCGCTACGCGTACTGCAAAGGGAAACATAATCAAGTGGGATTCGGTCAACGAAAGTCAACTTTCCTCTTTTCTATCTTTCTTTGACAGACCGTGACTCCCACTAAAATTAGGAAAGAATAAAAATTCATTCTATTTTCCTTTTCTTTTGTTTGCTGCCAACTCTTGCATATTAGGAAAGCAAATTTCCAATATTTCCTTTTGCTCGATTTTGGACGTCCGCAAAATACCAATTCCGAATATTCATATTTTCGCTTTGGGCTTAAACTCGAGACATATTTTTAACAATCTCCACCTTGGCTCAACGTTTGAGCCAAGTAACAATCGCTTCAATAGAATCCGAATTCCGCTACTACTCTCTCAATAATGGCTCAACCGCCACAGACGTCTTTCAAGTCCAAGCCTCGCTTGAACTTCGCCATAGCTGTGGACCTCATCAGAATACCAACTCCACATGCACCTTTAACCGCTTTACAAGGATTTTTCGACACAATCTCCTTAACCGCAGATAAAGCAAAATCATCGTTGCATCCATATCTATCAGGAGATCGAATATGCACCTTGTCAATATCAGCAGTTACAGCAACTGTTGGCTCA